GATCTATTTTAGCCTAAAACTGTAAATACAAATATTTTAAATTATTTATAATATGTCAGTGTTTCCTGAGTTTTATGACACTGAATACAAACACAACTAAACGTTGTACAAATACATCATTTTTAGTTTGGAGTAATTCAAGAAATGTGTTTACATTCGGTTTGGTGAAAATGTAATATTGGAAATACAGAACTCGATTTCAATTGAAATAATATCGCAAAGCTCGCACGTACATATTTCGTGACTAAGCTATTAAAACAACTCGAATAGCTCCTACCCGCAGACAACGTACTCACTGTCACAGAAACGTGAATAAAACAACTCGAATAGCTCCTACCCGCAGACAACGTACTCACTGTCACAGAAACGTGATTAAAATACTTGAATAGCTCCTACAAGACGACGTATACGTAATCACTGTGACAGATGCGTGATTAAAATACTTGAATACTCCGACCAGACAGAAAAGTGAATATGTCAATTCACATGCGAAATTAAAGCAATTTCCAATGAGTTTCAACAATGTGGAAACAATGTGAGAATAGGTGGGTGAGATTTGTTTTTATAATGAAAACTAAGAAACAGGTTGTGTTCCCCAAATTACCAAAATTCGTATTATCAATAAAACAATCGATAGGTGAATTGATAGTTGGCACATTTTTCTTTAAAACAGCTAAAATTGACAACGGATACAATATTAGTCATACCGCTAACTTGTGTGCCGCAACTATGATGGACATAAACTGCTCTCAAAAACAACAGTTACATGTGGAGTATGAGGGAACCATATATAAACTCCCTAAACAGCTGAACATACAATTTGTATAATGCACTCAATTTATCCATAAACAAACTGGTTATTATTTTATAAAATATTATGTATGATGTCATATGGATATTTAGACATTGTTTGTTGTAACAGACTACTACATAGCGCTGAAACAATAAAACCCTTATATCATTTAAGCAGCCATCGTTAAAAGGCTAATGACCTGCATATTGCACATTATTTTCCCTTTTAGATTAGAAAGTTATGCATTTTGTTTACTAAATGTCAATTTTAACGAACAAGTAACGAGTTTATGCATTCATATTTTGAAATAACTAGAAACATTCAAATAAAATATTTGCCATTTAAACAACAACTTTTATCGCAATTCAACTTAAAAATAAACATTCATCCAATTTTACTATTTTTTTTCATTTTTGTGATCCATGAGAAATTATGTTCATATGGTTCAAAATAAATTAACGTTGCACCAACACGTCAACTCATAAACTGGAATAATTATAGAGTTCAAAGGTCTAATATAATTGCCGAGTCACTAGTACGAGTTTTGCCCTGACGCTACATGCACTAATTACCGCCGGCGAGTCATTCGATACTTTGCAAACATCCAAAAATATCTAATTAAAACTTGGTAACCTCTAATATAATTATTGGAGACCCATTACTGCCAGGTCACTGTATATTTTACTATTTACCACTCTACACATCTTCCTTATACAATATGAGCACTGATTTAACACATGATTTATTCAACTAAACGCAACCATATTTACATGTCATGAATGTTAATATATAATTATTAGTAAATACATATAAAGTATACATCATCTTACCGCAAAATACAGTATTTGCGAGTGTCAGTGTCACGTGATAATGCTGTTCGAGTACGTCATCAATTTATCTCGTCTTGTTCATCCTCGTTCGCAACTAGTTACATAAGCAATAAAATAACGATCTAAATAACAACGGATTAAACACAAATCATTTATGTATGCATTTGCTAGATGTCATTATTTATAGCTATTTAGTGTTTTCAGGAAGGTTGAATGGAAGCCGGGGATATAAATCACAATGAAGTAGTAAATACTGGTAGTGGCTATCACCATAAAATATATTCAAATGAATTACATACATAGTAAATATACATTTGTTTTAAATACAAATATCACAAAGCAATTGTAAACATATTCTTAATTATTTTTTATAAAATACATCATCATCATCATGATACCACGCATTGACATATACCAAACTATAAAACATTTAATCTCAATTCCTCAAATGAGATATAACATTGCACTCGTATGTCTAATTTCAATTCATTGTCGAATCACTGAACTCGGACCTCTGACTACAATTCAGTGTTG